GGTGTTCATCATATTCCATCTTTGCCTGCTTCAATCATGCATGGCACACTGTGTCTGTACTGTAGACTAAGGCCCCCCAGACTGATCCAAGCATTTGAACCTCATCTTCAGGGGGCCTATTGTCTGTACCAGGGCCATAGTTGAAAAATGGTTTGCATTGTATCTGTGTGCAGCCTCAGTCAGAGGGTTGTGTAGCAGAAATCAGCCATAGCTGCAGAGGGTGGCACTCATCTCCCAGTAACCATGCTTGTAACACACTGGGCCCTTGAAATAAGGCAGGAACATCAAAGTTCTCAAAGGTATAGCCATCACAGTACCTTCCAGGGTGCATAGTACAGAATTCTATGGTGTGGTACTGATAATCAGATGACTTGTACATTGAGGGTATGGAGCCTGTACTGTTGATGAAGTCAGCTGCTATATGATATGGCACACTGAATGCAATGTGTGTACCTACTATATTACTCTGCACTTGGGGGAATTGAGCTGTTGACAAAGCCTACTGCCTAGGCCACAGCACTGACCCCATCATAGAGCAACAAGATGAAGTGGTGTGACCTGTCACAAATTGCGTCGGTAACAGTCTTGATACATTTGAGGATTGAGAGATCCCACGCAGATCCCCAGTGGATCCTTGGGAAATACCAGTTGTGTAAAGATTTAGCACAGCTGTTATTTTAATAACTACCAAGATACAATGGTCACCCAAACTTTCAAATCACAGTTCCTGCTCCTGCAGATGTTTCTGTTCTGTGATGGTGTTCCAGAACATAAGTAGCCTTCAGCGACAAAACAGCTATCTCATCTGGAGAAAACAACATCAAGGATGGTAGACCATGGGTCTCCTGTACCTCCTCCACATCCTGAGATGACCTTCAATTGTGATTTCTTCATGCTTGATTGTCCTGGTCCTGGACTTGCTGGCACATTTGGTTCTGCTCGATTTGTGGCCTCAGCAATGATTAGACCTGCTGTGGTTGGATCCATTGCTTATGCTTCCAATAAACCTATGTGGAAATACCAGAAACACAACAAGCCCTTAGTAATGTGAGTAGTCAACAATTGCATCATATACAAATGATAATTTGTATTGGATAGAGTGGAACATGGAGGACTCCAATAAGGGAGGGCCATAGAATGCCTGTGCATGGACCTTTGACGTAGTGGACTTTATTCTGATGTATGCAGCCAATGCCAGGCCATACGAGTGCTCTGAGAGATTGTAAGTGCAGTAAGATCACTGAAACCTTGCCCCCACCCACCCACCCACATCACTCAAGAAAGGTAGCATTGTGTATTGGAAGATATTGGTGAATATTTATAATTCAAGGAAAGAAAATCAGCATTGTGCCCTTAAGCAACCTATGAGACATTGGAGGATTGTCTTTGTGAATTACTGACATGCAGGTGACAGTTTTAAAACATAGAACAGGGATAAAGTCTCTGGCTATCCACTCTATCTATGCCTGTCATTATCTTGTACACCTCTATCAATCACCTCTCATCCTTCTTCTCTCCAGTGAGAAAAGCCCTAGCTCCCTCAACCTTTCCTCATAAGACCTGCCCTCCAGTCCAGGCAGCATCCTGGTAAATCTCCTCTGCACCCTCTCTAAAGCTTCCACATCCTTCCTATAATGAGGTGACCAGAACTGAACACAATATTCCAAGTGTGGTCTAACCAGGGTCTTATAGAGCTGCAGCATAACCTCGCGGTTCTTAAACTCAATTCCCCTGCCAATGAAAGCCAACACACCATATGCCTTCTTAACAACCCTATCAACTTGGGTCGCAACTTTGAGTGATCTGTGGACGTGGACGTCAAGATCCCTCTGTTCCTCCACATTGCCAAGAATCCTGCCATTAACCCTGTATTCTGCATTCAAATTCGACCTTCCAAAATGAATCACTTCACACTTTTCTGGGTTGAATTCCATCTGCCACTTCTTTGCCCAGCTCTGCATCCTATCAATGTCCTGTTGCAACCTACAACAGCCCTCCACACTATCCACAACTCTACCAACCTTAAGTGTCATCGGCAAACTTGCTAACCCACCCTTCCACTTCCTCATCCAAGTCATTTATAAAGATCACAAAGAGCAGAGGTCCCAGAACAGATCTCTGCAGAACACCACTGGTCACCGAGCTCCAGGCTGAATACTTTCCATCTACTACCACCCTCTGCTGTCTGTTGGACAGCCAATTCTGTATCCAGACAGCCAAATTTCCCTGAATCCCATGCCTCCTTATCTTCTGAATGAGCCTACCATGGGGAACCTTATCAAATGCCTCGCTAAAATCCATATGCACCACATCCACTGCTCTGCCTTCATCGATGTGTTTTGTCACATACTCAAAGAATTCAATAAGGCTTGTGAGGCATGACCTGCCCCTCTCAAAGCCATGCTGACTATTTATAATCAAACTGTGCTTTTCCAAATAATCATAAACACTATCTCACAGAATCCTCTCCAAATCTTGCAGAATCCTCTCCAAATCTCGCAGAATCCTTTCCAAATCTCGCAGAATCCCTTCCAAATCTCGCAGAATCCTCTCCAAGAGTTCTAAGCTCGTCTGTGATTACTTCAGCTTCACAGAGGTGACTGTTTAATTTGTAATGACCAGTGATGTGATCAAGACTGCTAATAGCCAGGATTTGGATTCCAGCCTTGGGTGACCATCTGTGTGAAGTTTGCACTTTCTGTCTAAGTCTGCATAGGTTTTTGCCAGGTGCTCCAGTTTCCTGCCACTGTCCAAAAATGGATTGGCCATGCTTAATTGCTCCGTAGTGTCCAAGGATGTGCAGGCTATGTGGGTTTGCCATGGTATGTGCGGGGTTACGGGGATAGGGTGGGGGCTCTGGGCCTGGGTGGAATGCTCTTCAGAGGGAGTGCGTAAATTTGATGGGCCAAATGGCCTCTTGCTGCACTCTAGGGATTCTGTCACTCTGCTCAGTGTTTCATATGTAGGATTCAATGAATACAGATAGTTTTAACCTGTACCTTGTAAATGCGTGTGCAGTCGCCTCTTGCAGTGTCTCACATCTCTCACATGTAGAGCCCCCCTCCATGCCCAAACAAGCACAAGCAATGCAAAAAAAACACTTACTCCACCCAATCTGCATATAGTGGCAGCACTTTTTCACTTCTGTTGCACATTTGTGATTTCAATGTGGATGGAAGGTAAGGAATGGTCATGCTTCGCTGGGTGAGTTGCAGGCTCACTCTGGAAATCCAGCTCTTTTTGCTCATTCATTCCACCAATGCAATTTTGGTAATAGAACAGCAAAAACTCGATTTTGCAAAAGATGGGGTTCCTGTTGCAGTCTTGCCAAAATTACAGTGACTGTGGGGGTTTGACTCTTAGGAAAATCATCCCAGAAAGATCCACTGTTCAATTCGCAATCTGTGCTTGAGGAAGATGATCTTGGTGAGAATGATGTTAAATGTTCTCAAATTGGCGATAGGGAAGCAAAACTATCTATGACACAGGCCAGCAATTTTCCAGCTGTTAAACCTGTTTTCAAGATCAGTTATCTAATTGTCATGACTGCATCGTAGGTTTTGGTTTGTTTTTAAACCAAGGAAGGCTCTGATTAACTTCATTGAAGGGGGATGAAAGTTACTGCCCTTGACATCAAGGCAAAATTTGACTGAGTATAGTATCAAGGAGTCCGAGCAAAACATGAAATGCAGGATAGTTAGACAATTTCCACCTGTTGGAGTCATACCTTGCACTAAGGAATATTGCTGGAAATCAATCATTCGTGGAGTATTGCTATGGAAGTTTCTCACGTTAGTGTCCTGGCCCAACCAGCTTCAGCTGTTTCATCAACAACATGTCCTCCATTATATGGTCAGAATTAAGCATATTTGCTAATGATTGAACAAAGCTTCAGCAACATTCATACCTCCTCAGAGACTGAAGCTAATTCAGTGTCCATACTCATCACGACTTGGACTACATTCAGGCTTAGGCTGACAGTTTGGGCCATTAGACAACTGTCATATTCAACAAGATCGAACCTAATTATCTCTGCTTGACATTCACTGGCATTGCAATTGCTGAATCCCCCACTGTCAATATCGTGGGGGAATCAATTACCAGAAGCTGTAATGGTCCCGCCATATAAACGCTGTCATAGTTAAAAGCAGGTCAGAGGCTGGGAATTGTGTGGTCTGCCCACCGTATGCAGGGCACAATAGTGAATACTGTCCACAATGAGTGCTACTGCAGCAACACACGCGAAATTTGATATCATCTTTGACAAAACAGCCCTTTTATCACCTGAAACATTTGCTCCCTCCACCACTAACACACAGTCATATCAGTGTGGACTATTTACTTAATGCAATGCAGAAACTCACCAAAGCTCCTTGACAGCAGCTTTCCAACCTATGGCCTCTATTACCTAGGAGTAGACTAACAACAGGTTCTTGGGAATACCACCATCTCCAAATTCCTATCAAAGCCCATACCATTTTGCCTTGGAATTATATTGCTGATCCTTCACTTTCCTGGAATTCCCTTCCCAGCGCACTGAGTGCTGCTACACAATATGTACTGCAGTAGTTCAAGAATGTGGCTAGCCACCACCTTCAAGGGCAGATAGAGATGGACAATAAATACTGGCTAACCAGTAACTCCCACATCCTGTGAAAGAATAATAATGAAAATTATCTAACCTTCATAACCTTGAATATTTCAATGACATCACTTCTAATTTCTTTAAACTCCAGAGAATATGGATATGATTTATTCATCCTCAATATTTGCTGTACACTTTTTTTTGATGTTTTTTTAAGTTACTTCTTTTACTGGAACAAGTCTGTTTGTTTTATATAATAATGAATTCACTGCAGAATTCCAATTGAAGTAAATTAGAAAGATGAGTGAATTTATGTGAAGTCAAAATATTCAATCTCCAAAAGTTATTTTCCAAATATGGCAATATACAAAAAAAAAATCGATACTGCTATTGCTATCATTTCAATTTGTTTCAGGTTTTTCAATGCACTGAGCTCTCCCACTGCCAGTACCACCCAGAACAAGTGGTGTATCCTTTGATAAACAACCAGTTGACCACTCCAGGAATTGGATACTATCCTTGTTGTAAGCAGAAAGTCCTACGGTTTGATCCTCTTCAAACGAATACTGTAAGTATGAAGAAAGTAGACAAAAAATTTAGGTATATATGATTAGTACAACATCAGAAATATATTAAGCTGTAGACGTTTACAGCATGGAGGAGGTTCGATTGCCTGTCTAGGCAGTTTTAGCTCTATTCTCCTTATATCTAAACCTGTTTTCTATTTGTACTCCATCCTGTTTCTCCATAAAATGCAGGATTAAAAAATGGTCTGTGGTATTTTCCATGGGTTCTATTTGCAACCTACTTGGACCTGTTTCCATAGAGGTAGAGCCTCATTTATTTACTTGTAATGTTGGTCAGAGTGGAATCTATACTGCTAGCTGTCTGAGCACTCAACAAGGGCCAAGCAGCAGATGAATGTAGCAAATGCTGCAACTAGCTTGGCTCATTTTAAGGGCATTCTGTTTCTTTTGAAAGGGAACTATATTGACTGAGCTGGGCTGCTGCTGGATGCTGTGTTTGCAGTTCTGAAAAAGGAAAATAAAACGTTAAGGCGGAGAGAGGGTTCCCATGTACATGGATGTGCTGTTCAAGTCCTTTGTCATTAAAGTGAATTTGAGGAGGACACTGTAGCTCTTTGTGCAGGATAAAAGGTTCTCAAGGACCACCTTCAGAAAAGTTTGCGAACAGGTGGCCAGTAAGCTTCATTCTCAGCCTAGGGGCAAGAGTTTGTCATTCCACAAGATGTCTAACAACATAATGGTCAAGGTCAGCAAGTGCATCTCCACTTGGCATCTCTCAGCACACCACCAGCATTTAAAGCTGATCAACACCGGCACCCTTATTACTTGCCCATGATCAGTCCTTAACACTCAGAATTCATGCCTAACGTCCAGATACTACATCTCACCTTTACATATTTCAATAAAGCCAGTATCACACCAGCTATCACTGCTCTATCCACCTCCAGCTCTTCAGTTGTGATGGCCATATCACCTGAATACAGTGCATCACAAATCATTGACCTTCTGTCCTCTCTTGCAGGTGACACACAATGAAAGGGAGCATAGCAGAACCAGTAGGAGCCAAGAATGTCTCCACCTCCTGATATCTATGGAGGTAATGGTTTTCTGCATTATTGGTCTGGCTGTGACAAACCCATGGCATCCAGTTTTGCTGGGAACATTGTGGATGATGGTACGTTAGTGCTTTACGCCACTGTCAAACTCTCAGCTCACCCTCGTCCTACTATCTGGTATGATGAGTAAGCTGCAGGTGGTGTGACCATGGACGTTTGCCTCTCCCCTCAGCCAACGTTCCCTTTTTGATTTCCTGCTTTCAGGCATCCAATAGCTGCCACCTGCTAGCCACAGCAGCATCTCTGGAGGAGAAAAGAGAGCAACAGCATGCACAGCAGTTATGAAGAGGTTTCAATACTTGACCTGATGCATGTTGTGTTACATTCGAGGTTAGAGGAATGCACCTTTGTGCTAGTCCAACTAGTTAATAAGTAACAACGTAAAACAAAATACTTCTTTGACTTACGAAGATGACTAATGAAATAATTTATTTAACATTTTAAACAACAGGATCCATCAACCAGGTTTCTTAAACACACTAAAACTTGACCAATTACTACAACTTTATTGACTAACATACACAGTGGGTCATAAATATCCCCAAAAAATATACGGAAACACACACACTTTCTCACTCTGTCTCTCTCTCAGGAAAAGAGAAAAAAAAAGATGAATTTCTCTATAGAGATTGGCCTTCTGAAAAAAATCACTAGCTAATGGGTTAAGCTTGAAGGATGAAATTTAAAATGTTCCTGTCTGTTGCTCTGGCTGGTATGTTCAAGTCACTAATCATGGACAGGAAATGCAAAATTGAGATGTTTCTTCAATTATGTTTTCAAAAGAACAAATAGGTTTCACTGTGAACTCATAAAGAGGATTTTGTTCTCAGAAATGAGAGATCAGCCAGCAACTTGTTCTTAACAATCTCCCTTCAACTCCGCTTGTTCTTATCAGACTTCCTTCCAACTTAGTTAGATTAAAGAAAAGTACTTCTTCAAGGCTATAACTATTCCAAAAGAGCCACAACAGGAACCTACAGTGAAGCCTACATGTATCACCAGTTGTGTCATTTACAGGAAGCCTTGTTTTAAAAAAAAATTCAGTGTCCACAGGGAAATTTTAATGATCTCTTCCAAAGAAACCACTCCAGGCATTTCCACAAAATTTGAAATAAATCCCTCAAATTTTAATATTCCAAGCAATATCAAATATAAAATGTCTTCCTAACATAACTACAAGCTCAGATACTGGGAGCACTGTATGTACCTTGGAGTCAAGTATAGAATTGGGATGAGCAGATAGTTTGTAGTCAGTAGGCTGTATGGTCTTCAAACTGCCTGGGGGAAAGGCTAGTATATGTGGCAGCTTACCAGAGGTGAGGTTGCAGAAAACTCCAATGAGGACCAAGACTGGTTGAGGTATAATGCTGATGAGGATATATCCTAAAAAACTACGTGCATTGGTCATACTATCAGTCAGCCTTCTGTCGGTATGCATGGAGGAATCCATCTCCAGGTTGGAATCATTGTGCAGAATTTTCCTTTTCCGCAGCCTTGAATCCATTTCTTTATTATTGCTGCTGACCCAGAGGCACTGCTTAGATGATGTTTTGGATGATGGGATAGTAAGTAGCAAGTAAAATTCACGCCAAACAGGATCAAGGTAATGATCTGCAACAAGGCAACCTGACTACTTCTCCCTGACATTCAATAGCAGTAGCATTGGTGAATTCCCCCAACATTAACATCCTCTGGCTTGCCATTGACCAGCCATGTGAATACTGTGACAAGAACCGTTCAGAGGCTGGAAATTCTGTGGTATGTAACTCATGTCCAAGTTCCCAAAGTCTGTCCTCTGGCTGAGCATGACATTTTCAGTGGAAATATGGAAAGAGCAACAAACGATGACCTTGCCAGTAGTATTCCCATCCAAAAACAAACAAATGGAAAAGACATCCACAGTACTTAAGTTTACTATGGCAGAAATTATTCTACATTGTCTTACTTGCATTCTGGGTGCTTAGATCTTTATTAAGGTTAGTGCTGAATATCTTGCAGCTGTACTTCAGTAAGTGATGAGTGAATACATTGAATGGACCTGCAGAATCCAAGTTTGTATATAAACCATCTAGTCTATCAAGAAAGCTGAGTGATATTAAGCCAACATCAATTTTGATTGCTCTAGTGCAATCCAAATGCCCACACTAATGCTTTTCCCAGTGTGGAAAGCTGCATGCAGAGAATGCAGATGCACGAGGCCGCCCCCTCCCCCTCCCCCCCACACACACCGAAGACCTCAGACCTCAGGCTTTGATAAAGTCCCTGGGGACGCTGATAGAGATCGGAAATTTGTAATGCATGTTTTCTGCTTAGACTCCTTCCTGTAATAAAGATTTCACTCTTGCACATGTTGGATGAAGACATTTCTCCTAGTCCTCTGTGTGATAATTTTATGTCGCTAACCTTTTGACATAGATGATTTTTATTTGTTTGAAGTCAATCAGTGCTGTTGAATAAACCTGCCTTTATATTCTTCAAGTTTGTCAGCTAAGTTGCTGAAAGTGTGAGCTGATAATGGTAAGGGAAACATGGCATCTAGGTCCTCGGTGAACAATACAACCACTTATGTATGTAGTTAACCAGTCAGACTTTAGGATTATGAAATAAGTAATTGAAAAACTGAAAGGAAAGTAAAAGATCAAGTTGTTGTATTCAGCGCCAAATCAGGCATAGAAAGAGAAGAGAAAATATTGAATGGGAGAGTGAAATTAAGGAACAGCAAAATAAAAGTAAACACATGAGTTTTTTTTAAAGCCTATTTAAATACCTGATAGGTGAAACTCCCTACTGATCATCAAATAGTTACAGGCAGAAGGAGGCCATTCAATCCATTGTGTCTGTCTTGGCCCTTTGAAGGAACAAATGTGTAATACTTGCAATTTTCCAGTTCTCTGGCATCACACCAAGTCCAAGATTGGAAAATTACATCACATGCTTCTGCAATATCCAGGTCCAGTACTTGAAGAGTTGCTGGAGAACACATTGATGCTAATAGTGGCTGCTCTGCAACACTTTGAAGTTTGCGTCACATAAACACAGGATGGTTGAAATGGCATTTGGCACTCTGCTTTCATTGCTCAGTCCTTTGAGTATAGGAGTTGGGAAGTCATGTTGAGGTTGTGCAGGACATTGATGAGGCCTCTTCTGGAGTCCTGTGTCCAGTTCTGGCCTCGTAGTTATAGGAAGGATATTATTAAGCTGGAGAGGGTTCAGAAGAGATTTACCAGGATGTTGCTGGGTATGGAAAGTTTGAGTTATAAAGAAAAGCTGAATAGGCTGGGGCTTTTTCACTGGAGCTTAGGAGATTGAGAGGTGACCTTACCGAAGTTTACGAAGTGATGAGAGGCACAGATAGAGTTAATGGTAGTGTCTTTTCCCTAGAATGGGGGATTTCAAGAGAAGGGGGCATATTTTTAAGGTGAGAGGAGAAAGATTCAGAAAAGACATGTGAGGCAATTTTTTTACACAGAAGATGATTTGCATGTGGAATGAACTTCCAGAGGAAGTGATGGATGTGAGCACAATTACAATGTTTTAAAAGACGTTTGGATAGGTACATGAATAGGAAAAGTTTGGAGGGATATAGGTCAGGAGTAGGGCAGTTGAGACTGGTTTAGTTTGGGATTATGTTTGGCATGGATTGGTTGAACTGAAGGGTCTGTTTCCATGCTGTATGATTCAATGACGTTATAATTTAATTTTCCACATGACATCAGTTGGCTGAAGATGGGAATTCTGTTTCTTAATTGAGAGGAACTCCTGCCTCAGAGAACTGCCAGCCAATATGATTGGATAGCAGTTCTCTAGTCCCAACAGTGCCAGAAGCTGTAGTGAACAGGATTGGGACTGCAAGCAATTTTGCAAAGCCTGAGTTCCAGAATCAAGGAACAAGTAACTATGGGACCTGAGGCCTGTGTGTGGACAGAGATGGTGATGTTGTTAAAAACGCCAAGCAGCAGGGAGCACCCGTGGGAACAGACCAAATAAAGTAGCATCATATGCTGAAAGGAGGCCACTGATAGAGGTGCTCTCCCCCCGTTTTTGCCTCAAGCCTGAGAAAGGTCACTCTCTGGTCCTTTCTTTTAATAATGCACCATCAAGTCACCCATAGATAGTAAGAACTGCTGATGCCGGAATCAGAGGTAATAGTGTGGAGCTGGAGGAACGCAGCAGGCCAGGCAGCATCAGAGGAACAGGCAAGCTGACGTTTTGGATCGGGAGCCTTCTTCATTTCTGAATTTAAGCATGGCCAATCCAGCTACTATGCACATCTTTGGACTGTAGGAGGAAACCAGAGCACCTGGAGAAAACCTGCACAGATACAAGGAGAATGTGCAAAGTCCCCACAGACAGTCACCCAAGGGTGGAATTGAACCTGGGTCCCTGGTGCTGACAGGCAGCAGTGCTAACCACTGAGCCACTAAGTCCATTTTACCATAAATAAGAGACTGTCCAAAACTCAACGTATGAGTTTAATTTTTGTGACAGTGTCGATGGTGAGGCACGCAGCAAAATGCCTTGCAATGCTAAGGAGAGACCAATGAAGCTAAAAGCAATTTTTCAATCTTGGTTTTTAAAGGAGTATCTGTTTCTCACCTGAGGTCTTGCAAAATTTACATGTTAATACCAGTGTAGCCACAATTATTTTTACAACATATGGCCCAATATTTCTATAATGGTATTTTGTATAAATTTTTCTTTGTATTTTTGCTCTTGAATGTATATTCTTGTGCGTTGTCAAACTAATTGGTTTGCTGTTTTTGTGTCTAACAATAGTTCTATATCCTTCTATGATATATCTATATGCTCAAATTACTATTCAAGTAGCAATGCAAAACAAACCTAAGATCAGAAGCCATAGGAGTAGAAATTTGGCCATTTGGCCCATCGGGTCTGCTTCATCATTCAATCATGGCTGATAAGTTTCTCAACCCCATTCTCCCACCTTCTCCCCATAATCTTTGATCCCCTTAACAATCGAGAGCTTATCTATCTCTGTCTTAAATATACTGAATAACCTGGCTTCTACAGTCTTTTGTGGCAATGAATTCCATAGATTCACCACTCTCTGGCTGAAGAAGTTTCTCCTCCTCTCCCTTCTAAAGGGTCTTCCCTTTACCCTAAGGCTGTGCTCTCGGGTTCTAGTCTCTACTGCTAGTGGAAACATCTTCTCAATGTCCACTCTATCCAGGCTTTTCAGTATTCCGAAAGTTTCAATTATATCCCCCCTCAAGCTTCTAAATTCCATTGAGTATAGACCCAGGGTGCTCAAACGTTCCTCACATGTTAAGCCTTTCATTCCTTGGATCATTCTCGTGAACCTCCTCTGGACCCAATCCAGAGACGGTGCATCCTTCCTGACATATGGGGCCCAAAATCGCTCACAATATTCTAAATGTGGTCTGATCAGAGCCTTATATTCTAATCCTCTCGAAATGAATGCCAACATTGCATTTGCATTCCTAACTACCAACTCAACCTTCAAGTTAACTTTAAGAGAATCCTGGTCTAGGACTCCCAAGTCCTTTATCACTTCAGCTTTCTGAATTTTCTCCCCATTTAGAAAATATTCCAAGCCTCAATTCTTCTGACCAAGGCGCATGACCTCACACTTTTCCATGTTGAATTCCATCTGCCACTTCTTTGCCCACTCTTGTAAACTGTCTAAATCCTTTTACAGCCTGCCCACCACCTCAGTACCACCTGTCCCTCCACCTGTCTTTGTATCATCTGCAAACATAGCCAGAATGCCTTCGGTTCCTTCATCTCGATCATTAATGTATAAAGTGAAAAGCATCTTTGCAATTCTTTCATTCTCTGGAGTCAGAGTTGCTCCTTCACTTTGAAATGGTTCCATGCACTTTTTAGTCTCTTGCTTTATTAGATGCTTTCGGAAGTTCTTCCTCTAATAGTAAGGCTGTTATTAATATTTTCTTGCTTCCCTTCTAATCTCTCTTTTTTCACCTCCCTATTGACATTTTCATGAATATTATTAGTATAAACTTCAGGGTTGCCTTTTTTCAGGTCAGTTTCATTGAATCTCTATTTATCCATTGTATTTATGCATCAATAAAAACTGAAAGAACTGCAGATGCTGTAAATCAGAAACAAAAACAGAAGTTGCTGGAAAAGCTCAGCAGGTCTGGCAGCATCTGTGAAGAAAAAATCAGAGTTAACATTTCAGATCCAGTGACCCTTCCTCCTATACATCAATGCCTTCCTTTTAACCTTATTATTTGTAATTTTATACATTTCTTTTCCTTGAAGGTAGCTTACTGATCTGATCTTTCAATCTTTCTGCTAACTTTTCTTCCTAATTATTTTGGGACAAATCCATTCTCATCTTGACAAACTTTTCCTTCTCTGTTCATCTTTTTTCTTCTTCCTTATCCTAACCATGTTGAGTTAATTGTTTCCCAGAATTTTCTAATACTTACAGATCCATTATTTACCCTGCAACATTTCTCTGAACAGTGCTTTTCTTCACATTGATCAAGGAAGCACTTCTGGATGCATTCTAAAAGGTGGCATACACTATGACTGCATGTATTACTATTATTCCATTGTGTGGAGGTGCTGGTGTTGGACTTCTTCCAATGCGTATTTGGTCAGTTAAAATTGCACAATGTTCCTTTGTTTTGACTGGCATATCTTTCTGTTTTCTTTTCAAAACAGCTTAATGACCTGTAATGCTCACCTGGACATTGTTATATGATCACATTGGTCTAGATTTTTTCAGTAACCCTGCCACCCACCCTTTTGTGTCCTTCCTCATCCTCAGAAAGTGTTATAACCATGAATATTAAGTTTCCAGACTTGTTCAAACTTATCTGTATCTCTTTTTTAGCTGTCACATTACATCACTCTGCAGCTAATAATATTCTAGTTGTCCAATTTAATTGTGAATGCTTTATGACTTCATTTACGTACTGTCAATGGTGACTCCATTATTTTTGACGTTGATACTTACTCCTTATCCCAGTTTTCTCATTTTTTGGGCCTCCTTGCCTCGTCTGCAATGTTTTTATCTCACTACCCATAGCATATTGCATTTTCTCTTCTGGTGATATTTTATCATTGTTTATTTCTGCTATGCATTCTGATTGCTTTGTTAGTTCCTCTCCTGCCACTCACCAAGACATTCCTCAACTCCTAATACATTAAATTTAATTGATTCAATCACTTCTCAAAGGCACTATGTATAGACAACAATTAGTGATGTTCAGATCCCACAAACAAATTGTTAAAACCTGCCATTTACTGTATTTTAGATAATCTATACACAGTGCTGTTGTAGTATCTAATAATTCTATCAGTGTTTCTACTTGAAAAAATACTTGGTAATTATTTTAATGTTTTTAATTGACAGTAAATAATTCACTGGTTTATCTGGCAAGGCACAGTCCTTGTGAACTGCCTATGAGTTTACTTCTTCCAGTAAAACAAACTTTGGATTATGACAACAAGTTTTGCATCTCTTGTACCAATCACTGTCACCACACCTAATTATTTCTGGGGACTAAATTTTCAAAAGAAAAATCAACAATAATTCATCAGGACCTTGACAAGAGATTGCTATGTCCATATACGTAAGTTAAGATAGCCAAACATATTTCTTTCTATTACTTTACCCATGGCAGAAACTTAGGCAGTTGTCTGCAGCAGTAGGCATGTTTCAATAAACATTGCTCATCATTGAACAGAATGATAGTATCCTGGGGCAATTTGTTTAAAAGAACAATATACTCTTGGATATTTTCACATCATTCTGCAAAAAGTAAATATTATTTATGAGTGGAGCTTGAATTTTCTGTAAGTCAGAATGGTAGTGCAAACTACAATTGATTTAATAAGCTGTCCTTCTATATTTTGTTTTACTCAGGGTTGTAAAGTGCGGGATCATGTTGTCAAATTACCCAGTCAGCTTCAAAATGGTAAAATTACTTCAGTATCAGTCAACCAAGTGTACTGTGATGTTCTCCAGCACAAGGATGTTGTCTGTGTGCCATTCAGTAAAACAGAGGAGAGGTAACTCACAAAAAACCTAATCATCAATGCGCACTTTTAAACTTGGCATTTTTGTTTTATTCTTGTATATTTTTAAAGTATTGAATTTTTGGATGCTGGTTCCTATGTTGTTGTTTTGAAAAAAATGGTTTTAAGGAAGAAGGTACATGAAAGGTTCATGAGTCCTGACCGACAAGTCATTGGTGCATTTTGCTGTGTGTTAACTTTTTAAAATTTTATGCTTATATATATATGCATTTACTAATGCTGCTATCAGATCTGTGTTTACATTTATCTAAATGTATATTCATATAATTCTATATATAATCTATTTAAAGTATATATGCGATTTTATTTTATTATCTTTCTGGATGTCAAAGCTATTGAAGTCGGTATATCCTTGCATGAATTTGCTACATTTTGGATGCAAATCAAAATATCCAGAGATTTCAAATAGTCTGAAAACCATAATAAAGCAGCAGAATAATTTCCAGATACATAATTTTTGATGTCTTATCCAAGCATATTCCCAAAGTTTGTACTTAGTTCAGTTGTGTTGATAGTTTTGTTTTTATTCACATATACTAACAATCAGACGAATAGTTATAAAAATAGCAAAAATTTGAACTTTGCCAAAAACTTACTCTTCAATGTAAAACAGCAGGTTAAATTGTTTAACAAATTATGTGATTTTGGAAGATGCCAAGAGCCTTGTCATTGTTCCAATTTAAAGTTTTTGAGAAGATTTGTAACTCAGGTTGTGGATCAGGTTGTAGACTTGCTTGCCGAGCCGGTGTGTTTGATTGCAGAAGTTTCGTCACCCTTCTAGGTGACATCGTCAGTGCGCCTCCAGTGAAGCGTTAGTGTTCTGTCCCCGCTTGTTATTTATATGTCTCAGTTGCTGGGGTGGTTGGCATCACTTCCGGTTCTGTTTTTCAGTGGTTTGTAAATTGGGTCCAGTTCAATGTGTTCTCTGGCCTGGCAGAGAAACCAGGGACTCCTGGTTGCAGTAGGCCAAGAGTGGGGACTTTCGGCGTCATCGTGGCAGCAACAGAGCCAGGGACTTCTGGTTGTGGTTGCAGCAGGCCTGCAGTGAGGATTATCGACGAGGTGGTGACTGCAGCTCCTGGTAGCGGTAGGCCCAGAGCCGAGGACTCCTAGTTAATGATGAGGTGGCGGCAGCAGCAGAGCTGGGAACTCCTGGTTTCGGAGCGTGTGTGAGTTCAGCACGGGACCTGGCATCAGTGGCGAGGTGGGCCCACAAGAAAGAGATGGCTTCTGAAGAGTAGCGACTTCTACATTGATGGGTCTGGCGTAGGTGCTTCACTGTCTGTGTAGATGGCTATTAAACTTAGCAAGGCAATGTGATGAGTGAGCTCAGGCTCAGGGCAGAGGTGGCAGGCTCCCTTTCAGATTTTTTTTTATTCTTAAACTATTCAAAATGGTGCCAGATTGTTGCAACAATTGAAGCTTTTCTCTCTATTTTACTGTATTATTCGCTGTAAAATGCAAGTGACAATAAATCATTCAATTCACTCAAGAACTTGTACTTTTACAGCAGCTTTTACAATCTCAAAATATCCCAAGGTACTTTACAACAATGACCACACACTTCATAATCAGTAATGTAGGCAATGCAACAGCCAATTTGTGTACAGCAGGGTCCACAAACAGTAATGAAGTAATCCATGTCATCCATTTTAGATGATGATTGAAGGGCAAATGACTGATGGATGCTGATAGATTTTTTTTACACCTCCCTAATTGGGTGCATGGGACCTCAATTTAATGCCTCATCCAAAGGTACTGCAATGAAGTGGCAACTTAGTTTATTTCAATTGTCCAGCTTCTGACTGAGACAAAAGAGCTACCACTGTGACAAGGTTGTACCAGCAGTAAGTTGATAATTATGTTGCTCTTTCCTTCTTCACTGGCATAGCAAGATCCTTTTAGTGTTGCCTACAGGCACAGTAGTGAGGAAATGTTTAAGACCATAAGAATTAGGAACAGGTGTAGACCATTCAGCCCCTCGAGCCTTCTCTGCCAATCAATAGGATCATGGCTGATTTGACATTCCTCACGTCCACTTTCCTGCCTTCTCCCACTAATCCTTGATTCCCCTACCGATCAAAAATCTATTTCAGCCTTAAATATAGATAAAATGTGTCCCCACACCTCTATGTGGCAAGGAGCTTCAAAGATTCACAACCCTCTGAGAGAAGACATTCCTCTGCATTTCAGTCTTAAATTGGCACCCCTTTAGTCTGATGCTATGCCCTCTGGTGCTAGACTCTCCCACGAGAGGAAGCATCATCTCAACATTTATTCTGTCAAGAATCCTAAATGTTTCAATAAGATCACCTCTCATTCTTATAAACTGCAATGAGTACAGTCCCAACCTGTTTAACCTTGGCTCGTAAGACAATCCTCCACACCAGGGATCATCGTAGTAAACCTTTTCTGAACTGCCTCCGATGAAACAATACCTTTCCTTAAATAAAGGAACCAAAACTGTTCGCAGCACACGAGATGTGGCATCACAAGTACTTTGTACAGTTGCAGTAAGACGTTCCTGCTATATACTCCAATCCTCTTAAAATAAGGGCCAACATTCCATTAGCTTTCTTGATTTCCTACTGCACCTTTGTGCTAGCTTTTTATGTTTTGTGCGCAGGTACCCTCAAGTCACTTTGTGTTGCAGTTTTCTGCAGTTTTTCTCCATTTAAGTAGCAGTCTGTTCTTTTATTCTCCCTCCAAAAAGAAACAACTTCACATTTTCCCACATTATATGCCATTTGCCAACTTTTTGCCCACTTACTTAACCTATCAGTATCGCTCTGTAAACTGTATCCGCCTTGCAACTTGGTTTTCTACCTACTTTTGTGTCGTCTGCAAATTTCACTATAGTGCATTCGCTTCCTTCCTCCAAGTTATTAATATGTATTGTAAACTGTATCAGTCCCAGCACTGACATTGCAGAATCCCACTAGTTACAGGTTGCCAACCTGAAAAAGAACCCCTTATCCCCGCTCAGTTTCCTGCTCATTAGCTAATTCTCTATCTATGACAACATACTACCTCCAGCATCATGGGCTCTTATCTTCTGACTTAACTTTATCCGAGGAACCTTGTTGAATACCTTCTGGAAATCTAACTGCAACACACCTACTGGTTACCCTCTATCCACTCTAGTTGAGACTTTAAAAAGTCTAATAAACACTATTTTCCTTTCACGAAGCCATCTGCTTCATTAGATTATGATTTTCGAAATGTACTGCCATTACATCTTTAATAAATGATTCCAACATGTTTGGCTGATCAGTCATTAATTACCTGCTTTTTGCCTCCCTCCTTTTTTGAATAGGGGTCTCATATTAGCAGTTTTCCAATTCTCCAGTACTTCTCCAGAATCCATGGATTTTTGGAAAATAGTAAGCAGTGCTTCACTATCTGTGTAGATGGCTATTAGAATCCTCGGATGCAAGCCATCAAGGCCAGGGAACATACCTGCCTTTAGCTGATTAATTTGTCAATTACTACTTCTTAGTGATAGTACTTAATTTCTGCCCCGTGTTCTTTAGTATTAATAGGATGTTTGAAGTATTTTCCACTGTAAAGACTATTGAAAAATATTTGTTTATTTGTTTCCTCTGCCATTTCCTTGTTCCTCATAACTTTCTCCCCAGATTCATTTTCTAAGGCACCTTATGTTCACTTTGACCTATGTCTTCCTTTTTATGTTGTCAGTTTTTATATTCCTCACTAGTTTGTCCTCGTAGTTTCTTTGTCTTTATTATCTGCTTAGTCTATCTTTGCTGGATTCCGAATTTACCCCAGTTTTCAGGGCTATCACTGACTTGTACCTTCTTTTTATGATTCTTGTTAAATGTATTCTCCTTAACCTCCTTGGTTAGCCATGGTTGATTTATCCCTCTTAGCATCTTTCCTCCTTGCTGAGATATATTGTTGCAGAGAGTCATAAATTATCTCAAATGTCTACCACTGTTAGATTACTGTACTTACTGGTAAGCAATCTGCCCAGTCCGCTTTAACTACCTCTATCCTTGTTTCATCACAGTGTTTCACGAAATTTAACTTCATGTAAATGGTGGAAGAAATAAGGAAAGAGGAAAATGAGAAGAAAGTTAGGTGGATGGGTGCACAGAACATAGAACATTACAGAGCAGTACAGGCCCTTCGGCCCTCGATGTTGCGCCGACCTATGAAACCAATCTGAAGCCCATCTAACCTAAACTATTCCATTATCATCCATATGTTTATCCAATGACCATTTAAATGCCCTTAACGTTGGCGAGTCTACTACTTTTGCAGGCAGGGCATTCCACGCCCTTACTACTCTCTGAGTAAAGAACCTACCTCTGACATCTGTCCTATATCTATCACCCCTCAATTTAAAGCTACGTCCCCTCGTGCTAGCCATCACCATCCGAGGAAAAAGGCTCCCTCTGTCCACCCTATCTAATCCTCTGATCATCTTGTATGTCTCTATTAAGTCACCTCTTAACCTTCTTCTCTCTAACGAAAACAGCCTCAAGTCCCTCAGCCTTTCCTCATAAGACCTTCCCTCCATACCAGGCAACATCCTGTTAAATCTCCTCTGCACCCTTTCCAATGCGGTGACCAGAACTGTACGCAATACTCCAAGTGCGGCCGCACCAGAGTTTTGTACAGCTGCAACATGACCTCGTGGCTCCGAAACTCAATCCCTCTACCAATGAAACCTAACACACCATACGCCTTCTTAACAACCCTATCAACCTGGGTGGCAACTTTCAGGGATCTATGCACATGGACACCAAGATCTCTCTGCTCATCCACACTACCAAGAATCTTACCATTAGCCCAGTACTCTGTATTCCTGTTACTCCTTCCAAAGTGAATCACCTCACACTTTTCCGCATTAAACTCCATTTGCCACCTCTCAGCCCAGCTCTGCAGCTTATCTATGTCCCTCTGTAACCTGCAACATCCTTCCGCACTATCCACAACTTCACTGACTT